CGTGGAGATTTAAAATTCTAAAACCAAGTAGTTTGTGGAATAACTGGTTGTAAAGTGGTGTATCTTGTTTGGTTTATAAGGCAGTAAAGATTCCATTGATCTTTCCATGTCGCTAGCTGGTTTTTTTTAAATATTCTAATGGCATCTGATACACATAAAGAATATAGCAATAAAGTGCCTGATATTATACTGGTTTTAGCTAAGTAATCTACATATTCATTATCTTTGAGTCCAATATGTGCCTTAACCCAAATAAATTTTATATTAAAGCAAGAGTCTACTAAGTGCTTTAATTGATCTTTTATTAGAAAAATATAAGGATTACTAAATGTTTTGGGCAAAAAAGTGTTTTTTATGTTCTGTAGAACTGAAAGGCAGTCTGAAAGAATTAACGATTTTTTAATATAAGAGTTTTTAACATATTTCAAAGCTTCGAGTATAGCCAATGATTCCGCCGAGAAAATTGAAAACTCCTTGGAAAGTTTGTACTTAAATTCAGAACCTCCTGAGGGTAGAAAATAGGCACAGCCAGTACCTTCTATTGATTTGGATGCGTCCGTGTATATAACTGTGGCATCACTATAACAGTTCAAAACAGATCTCAGAATATTGTTGCTCAATTTGTTGTTAGGACTATATGTGGGTATTATAACTTCAGCTTTATGGAAGAGAGCAAAGAAGTCTAAATTTTTTTCCGCTTTGGCCAAATTTTTTGAAAAAATTGAATTGTTCTGTAAAGCAGTGCACAAAGGTGGAGACGGCTTCTTAATCCAATATTTATGAGTGAGATCTGATTCGTTAAGTTGACGTATACTGGAAAATAATTTGGGATATGTTGAGTGGGCTTTGAGTACCCATTTTTCGCTTAATAAATTTCTTCTAATCGAAAGAGGAGGTTCATAAGCTTCAACATGTAGTGGTTGTATAGGGGTAGATCTCATAGCACCTAAACAGACCCTTAAGACAGAATTTTGAAAAATGTCAATTTTTCTTAGAAGATTTCTAGAACCGTAAAGAGTAGCACCATAATCTATAATGGATCGTATGTAAGCTCTGTAAAACAATAAGGATGTTTCAACATCGCAACCCCACCACACTTTGGTTGTCATTCTAAGAAAATTACTACCTTTGTTGCATCTATCCAGCATATATTGTATGTGTTGTTTCTAAGCCAATTTTTTATCCAGTATAAGGCCCAGATATTTGATATGGTTTTTGAATGTAAAAGATTGATTATCAAGAAGTATATTTTGATTTGGAGGAAGGTTGTGTCTTGTGAAGACAGATACTGCTAATTTGTCAATTGATAAATTTAAGCCGTTCTCTAAGTACCATGGGAAAAGAGAACTACATACTCTACCTAGGTTTTGCATACCGTTTTCATATTTCTTACTTTCTGTATGGATACAAAAGTCATCTGCATATTGTATTATTTTAAATGGGATGTTGTTTATTTGCATATTATGTATGTCAGACGTGTACATATTAAATAAAATTGGCGATAATACCGAGCCTTGTGGTATGCCGTGATAGTTGTATAGAAACCGATAATTGTGTTAACGAAAGCGATTGGCAAATGAAAGAAATTTACCATTTTGAATTTCAATATTGACAAACAAACTGATTCATATGCTCCTTCAATATCCAAGAATAGGGTTGCTAAATAGTTATTCCTAGTTAAGTTGTTCTGTACATCAACAACAAGTGTTGTTAAAGCGTCTTGAGTTCCAAAACCTCTTTTGTAGCCAAACTGGTTTACTGGTAATAAATTCTCTTTTTGTATCCACCAATCTAATCTAAATTTTATAAGGCTTTCTAGGGTTTTGAATACGCACGAGAGTAAGGATATTGGTCTATATGAACTCACAATATTTGGATCCTTTCCGGGTTTAAGGATAGGAACGACTAAGATATTTTTGAAGGACTCGATAACTATGTTATTTTGGATGATATCATTGAAGATATGTAAAAGATGGTTTTTTGCAACCGTTGGCAGGTTGATTAACATGTGGTATTTTACATGATCGATTCCAGGAGAAGTATTAATGTGGCTTTTAAGGGCGAAGTCTAGTTCAGTTTTAGTAAAAGGTTTTAATAGAAAGTGATTATTTGAATGATGACTTTGTGTAGGCTGTGTAGGCAAATGTTGAACCCATGGAGGAGATACTCTATTAAAGAAGTCTTCTAATAAAGTATCATTGAAGGGTTTTGTACTATTATGTGATTTTCGGTTCATTTTGTTATCTTGAGACCATATTTCTTTAGAAGAAGTATTTTTGCTTAAATTAGAACACCATTTAATCCAACTAGCTTTGGCTTTTTGTTTCAGCTGCTTTTTACTATGAGCAGTAATTTTCTGACATTTTAGATAATTATCAAGGCTTGGTGAACGTTTATAAACTGCTAATGCTTCTTTTCTGTTATTAATTATCATATCACATTCTGGGTCCCACCATGGCAAAGGGATCGATTTTTGGATTTAAAAATTTTATATTGAGGAATAGATTTAAAAGCAGCATGATTAATGCAATCTATTAGAAAGTTATAATTTTCATAAGTATTAAGATAGTTACTTTTATTAGAAAACATGTTTTCAATTAAAGATGTATACAGCGGCCAATTGGCCTTTTTGATGTTTCATTTGCTTTTTGGGTGAATTGTTTCCTGCGATGTGTAGGTTATTGAAAAATTCATAGTTATTGCAAAATGATTGGAGCCTAAGGTGTCAGATAAAACTGACCAGGTGATTTTACTAGCTATATTAGCTGTGCAAAGTGATATGTCAATAATCGATTTTTCGGTACCATATCTAGGAAGATAGGTAGCTTCACCATTATTTAAAATTACCAGATCTAGATCCTCGACATTACTAACAATTTGTTGACCAACTGCATCATTTTGTAATGAGCCCCATAGTGAATTATGAGCATTCATATCTCCTCCTATTATAAAAGGTGATTTGACTTGTGAGAAGATATTTATCCAATCATTTTTGGAAGTACGAATTTTAGGTGGTCTATATATAGATAGAAAACTTAATTCTGTTGTATTAATTTTAACGGTAGCACCGCAGACTAAAATTTCATCGTTAAAATTGTTTCTAATATTTATTTGACAAAAAGGTATGGTTGTTTTAATTAAGATTGCAACACCTGCGTACCCGTCATATCTATCTTGGTAAATTACATTGTAATCTTTAAATATATAATCCTGATTTGGTTTGAACCAAGTTTCGCTTAATAAGGCAATGTCAATATTTTCAGTTGTTAAAAAATGAACTAAGCTGTTTTTATTCGAAACAAGGGATCGAGCGTTCCATTGCAAAATTTTTAATGATTTAAGTTCTGGGAAGATGTTATTTATTGATAATATCCTCCAAAATTGTTTTTATTCCATGGTAAATACTATCTTGACTTATTGTTTTTATATCATCTACAGTTTGGATATTTGTGATTAAATTAAAAATGTAATTGAAAATAAGTGTTTGAAGATCTGTCTGATCTTGTTTATTTTGAGAATTAGGGATGTTTAAATTAGCAGGAAGGGGTCTAGAGGGCCCAAAATTAAAAGGAAACATAGGTGTGGTATGGGGGGAATGGGGGTAGGAGAGATTAATTTTCGTTTTTTCGCTATGCTATAGCGACTTGAGGAGGGTTGTGATGTGTTATTTGATGATAAGTTTTGGTTTCTACGCGTGATTACTTGTGTGGCAGCAGAATGGGTTGAATTTTTTGTGAATGTTGGCAGGGGAGGAAAACTGTTTCCGTTAGTGTGGAATATCTATTCTGAGTGAATAATCCCGAAAAGGATGATTCACGATAAGTTTTTGCCTCGATGAAAGTAGTTTTTTGCTCAATCATAACGGTTTTGATCTTCTTCTGCAGTTCATACTTTGGACATTTCTTGGAAATGGATACATGATCCTTACTATTGCAATGGATGCACTGAATAGCATTATCCTGGCAAGCATGACCTTCATTTTTGGTTTTTCCGCATTTTATGCAATGTGCCTCTGTACTCCTTGCTTGGAGATATGTCCAAATCTCAAACAATTATAACACTGAGTAACCTTGCCAATATAGGTTTCCACAGGAAAAAATACACTATTTATTGCAATATAGCTAGGTAAAATATTTCCCTCAAAGGTGACTATTACAGTCCTCTTCGGTACATAGTTAGTTTTTCCTTCCGTATCAACCCTTCTGAAAGTTTGTTTGTAACCTAATATGGGGGAGGGAGATTCACTGTTATCTAATAAATAATTTTCATCGTATTGGGTATCAACATCTCTGATTAGACCTTTGATTTTTAGTGGATGATTAGGAATGTAAGCTACTTACCAAATTTTCATTTTTTAACTTTAAATTTTTAACCAAATTATTTGCATCAATAATTGACCTTAACAAAACTTTAATTCTGTTTTTTCCAATGCCTTTAATTTCAATAATATTAGGAATATTCAATTTTTTATGCAAAATATGCGCAACTGTTAAAGGATGTAGACGACCTATATTTTCATTGTTTGTTTTTTCTATGTAAACATAAACATTATTAAAATTGTACTTATCTGATTTAATGTTGAAAAATTTTATAGCTACTGTTTTTTGCGCTTCAGGTTCTGGCAAGATTGTAGTACAGTCACTGATTTCATTCGCATTTTTCGATGTCAAATCATCAAAATTTTCGATTAAACTGGATTCATTAATAGGCATTTCACTATTCTCACTAACACATGAAAAGTTTAAATCACCCATTAGCGTCTCTGGGGAAATTGCCTCCCCCATGGGGGACTCGTTTATATACTTATTTATTACACTGAGTTAATGTCAAACTTCGAATCACCTGTACTAATTTAAAATCGAGTTAATTAGTAGAAAAAGATACTGGGCACTGATTATTTACGACCTATCGCTTCGAAAGTTCGAGTAATACTGGATATTATTCTTTAAATTTTATATAATTTAAGAGTATCACATTTATTCAGTAATATTTATTTTTAGGGATATCTGGAATAACACTCCTTTACATAATGCTCTAAAATATGGCCACGAAGAGCTGGCAAGGTGTCTTATAAAATCAGGAGCTTGTGTTAATCATGTAGATACAGATGGTAACACGCCATTGCATTTGGCAGCACGAACTGGAACTACGAGCAGGACGAGTATAGACACGGTACGCCTACTTTTGAAACACATGTCCGATGTCAATAGTAAAAACAATAGAGGATTTACACCTTTGCACGAAGCTGTATATGCAGAAAATGTGAAAACGGCAAAATGGTCAATAATAAATTATTACTATGGTGACAAGTCAAATGATACAATCAGTATACCCAATACACTCTATTGTGTTTACGATTATAATGGTAGTAAGTTCTTTAAACGTGCCCGTCGGGATCCACCTATTTGGGCAATGAAAAATACTACGACTATGGTTAGAATTTTAGTAGAAGCAGGAGCAGATGTTAATCATCAGACTGCCGAAGGTTGGACCCCATTACATTTCGCGGTTGAACGGAGTCTTGTAGATGTTGTTGATATACTATTGCAAAAGTAAGTCAGTAAGTCGTCTATTTAAATAGTAATAATGTATATTTGTAACTTTCTATTACACAACATTTTACTCGTTTCTCTATTTCATCCATCATTATCTAATTTTACCACATGCATTGGAAATGACATTTTTAAAAGAACATTCCAAAGAACGGTCCAAATATATTTTGGACCTACGTAATTTTGTAAGAATTGCTTACATGGTAATTACTGATCTTGAGAAGGCTATAACAGAGTTTCCAGGGACCTACTGTAGTAGACATTAAGTAAGACTACTGGTTGAATATGTAGTAGCAGTGCAATTACCGGCAGTACATATTGGTTGTAAATTTTGTCTTTAAGCAAATCGGATTCCTGTATCGGAGAGTATATAATTCTGTAATATTTCAAAAAAGGTTTCAGATATACGCTAGCTATCTTTTCTACCAGTCTTTATTGTCTGGTATTATTTTATAACTGGTAGTAAGAAGCGCATCAAATTGACAATAAACAAATGAAAACAGTATTGATTTTCACAATAAATTGAGTTTATACAAAAATAAAATCTGCCAAAAATTAGAAAGGAAAAGGAAAAGTACGAACAACTCACAGTGGTAAAGAAACATTATCCTTAGAATGCAGCAGAAAAAAAAATTTTAGTCTGGTAACTACAACGGGTAATTATTATGATCACTGCAAAAAACTTTGTATGTTATTGTTTAATAAAGAATAAAACTGCATGTAAGCATCTACTTATATGAGTATAATATAAAACTAGATCAGGAACACGTGCGTTTATAAAATTTTGAAATATTTTTTTTTAACTTAAATATTAACTTTTTTTAATATTTCCTGTGGCCTAATTTAGCTTCAATGACAGCCTTGATCCTTCTGGCATACTTTGAGTGTTTTTCAGATAATCTTTTTTTTTATTTTATGGCACTTTTTTGTGCTAGGTGGCAAATGCGTCTCTCAATTAGCTGCTGCTTATTTCTGACAACTTCTTGGGCAATCCCCCTCTTCTTAAGCTCCAATAGATTTTCAATGTACAGAAGCTAAGCTCCAGTATTGCATCAGTTGCATGACGATGTATCAGGTGGACACTTTGGTACTACGAAGGCTCTGAAAAAGGTTCGAGAACGATTTTATTGGGTGAACTGTAAATATAATGTGAAAATATGATGCCAGAAATGTGAACTTCCTGCCACCAGTAATGGTCTAGTTAGTAAAAAGAGGGTACGCATAAAATAGTACAATGTTGGTTGTCCTATGGAAAGGGTAGCAATCGACATTGCAGGTCTATTTCTCCCGTCTCCCTACGGAGGTTGGCAATCATAATGGCTATTTTTATTTTAGAACTTGCTGCTCTAAACAAATCAATCGATCTGCATTAATATTAATCACGTAGATTCTTTAACCATGAGTTCTGCCTTCAGTCAACAGATCTTCTTCTTTAAATCTTTTCCTGGATTATGAGTCTGAAAATTTCATATTTTGGTCCCCTCATAACGTGGCCTAGGTATTCCAGTTTTCTGGTTTGTATAGTGGTGATTAGTTCTGTTTCTTTACCAACCTCCTCCAGTACTTCTTTATTTGTAATTCTATTAGTCCATGATATTTTCAATACTCTGCGGTATAACCAGAGTTCGAAGGCCTCGATTCTTTTTAAATTACATTTTTTTAATGTACAAGTCTCAGCTCCATATTATAATAATATTGAAAATATATAACAGCGAATGGTACGTAGTGTGATCTCCAAATTAAGATTTTTGCACGTTAGGAGTGGTTTCATTTCGTATAAATGCTGATCTGGCAATCTCTATTCACTTGTTTATTTCTACAGTATGATCATTGGTTTCATTGATCAAAGTTCCCAAGTACTGATATTTTTCTACTTGTTCTATCACGTTACCATTGATTGTCAATAGGTAATGTATATTTTGTGGTCTTTTTGTAATTAGCATGTACTTCGTTTTTTTAGCGTTTATAGTAATTCCCATCTCAGCACTATTCATACTCAAGCTTTCGATAAGATGTTTTAGATCCTCTATACTCGTTTCTATGATCACAGTGTCGTCTGCATATCTTAAGTTGTTAATTAATTTTCCGTTAACGGTGACTCCCGCTTCGATAGTATTAAGCGTATTTTGGAAAATTTCTTCAGAATATAAGTTCAACAAAAGTGGCGATAAAACACATCCCTGTCTAACTCCTCTACAGATCCTCATTTCTTCCTGATCCTGATCCATGGCTACTAGATCCTGGTAGCCAGGAATTATTTTACGAAATGGACTCAGGACCATGCGATACCAAATCAAGAAGCTGCTACCATTGCCGAGGTACTTGTTAACTAATTCGTTAGCCGATTTGGTGTTCCCTATGAGATCCACTTCGACCAAGGGCGATACTTCTAGTCAACTCTCTTCTAAATCGGTTGTAAATTATTAGGTGTCAATAAGACCAGAACGATACATCTGCATCGTCAATCAGATGGAACGGTTGAGAGAATAAATTAAACGGTGGGTAAAGACCTGTCAAAAGTTGTATCCGAACATCAAAGAGATTAGGACCAGCACATTCATTTATTCCTAATGGCTTACCACTCGGCTGTAAACGAAACTACAGGCCAGACTCCAACCTGCCTAATGTTGGGTTTTGAAGTTCGTTTGCCCTGCGACCTAGAATTTGGCTGCAGACCTTCCGCCGAACATGTTGTAAGTGAAGAATATGTCGATAGTGACAAAATAAAAGATCAATATGATTCTCGATACAAAAACTAAAGCTTTGAATTAGGTGATCTTCTTTGGCTTTATAATCAACAACGTCGTCGACGCTTATCTCCTAGACTGCAACGAAAATGGAAAGGTCCGTATAAAATTATAAAGAGAATAAATTACGTAATCTACCGAATTTAGAATCTGCCAAAAGGTAAACAAAAGATTGTTCACATAAATTATCTGGCACCTTCTGCTGGCTCAAATAAAACAGAATAAGCACGAACCCTTCAACATGAGATCAAAGATGACCGGCGACCAAGCTTTAAGGAATTGTTGTCAAATTACGCAGAAAGAAAGAGTGCTAGATTCGGTGTGACCACAGAAGTTCAACAGGATCTTTTTTGTTTCGGAAAATGTCTCTCTAACCCATTGTGTTGATCAAGACCTCGAGATGACTAAAGGAGTATCGTTCGTATTCAATAAGAAGTTAGGTTGCTTCGACGAGCTAAAAAATCAGTAGCTTAAAGTTTCAAGAGTACTACGATTAGAAAATGGTCTTTGATCATTGCTGTATATGGTAACCAGGAAGACTTACAAAGACAGGGCAAGCTACGAGGACATATGTCGTGCTTTAATTAATTTAAAATAAATTTTGTGCAACTAGGATATCAAACATCTGGCTGTACCAAAGATAGGCATGCACTAGAAAATTTGGATTGAAAGATTGTGAGAAGGATGCTTGAAGTGATTTTCCAAAAAACCGGCGTAGGGTTGTGCCCTTCAAGGTCCTTAGACTGTTATTTTTTCTTGAGGTGTTAATGCAGAGCTGGAGAGTCCTGTAGATTCACCATACTGAGCCTGCATATAGAATTAACGATCGGGACACTCAGATTAAAGAGGGGAACAGTGTAATGGACAAGCTTATTTCGATGTGCCCCATATAACGGTTGCATCTCAAGACGAGGATGTGTGTTCGAGAATGATGATGTATCGACTGGTTGACAGATCGAGATGTTCTGTGAACGTCTTGATACGAGGGAGATCTTCTTCTTCTCGTGCCACTCCTAGCGGAGATTGGAAATCATCATGGCCACTGCGACTTTGTTAGCAGCCCGCCTAAAAAGTTCAATCGAACTACACCCGAACCATTCACGTAGATTACGAAGCCACGATATTTTTCTTCTTCCCACACTTCTTTTGCCCTTAATTTTGCCCTGCATGATGTTTCTTAAAAGTTCGTACTTTTCACCTCTCACAATGTGCCCCAAGTATTCCATCTTTCTAGTTTTTATCTCATTTAGAATTTCGCATCTTTTGTCTAAAGTTTGGAGTACTTGCGTGTTAGTGACGCGGTCCATCCATGATATTCTGAGAATGCGCCTATAGCACCACATCTCGAAAGCTTCAATGTTTTTTATGGTCAACTGTTTTAGTGTCCAAGCCTCAACTCCATATAACAGGGTAGAAAAAACATAACACCGCAGCATTCGTATTCGTAACTTTATATTGATATCACGATTGCAAAAGAGTTTGCGCATTCTATTAAAGACTGATCTAGCGATTTCTATTCTACATCTAATCTCTTTTGTTTGATCAGTATCGTCTGTGATCCAAGCACCTAGATATTTATAACAGGGCACACGCTCAATCGTTGTATTGTCTATTACAAGATTAGCTCTGATGTTCTTTGATTTCGTGATTACCATAAATTTAGTTTTTTTTTTCAAATTAATTTTCAAGCCGTAACTGTTACAGTATATATTGAGACTTTGAACGAGATATTGTAGTTCTACTAGCGTTCCCGTTAGGAGAACTGTATCGTCAGCATACCTTATATTGTTGATCGTCTCACCATTTATTATCAGACCAAGATCTTCTTCCTCGAGTGCTTAGAGCACAAGGGAGATAGATGTAGACAATTCCAGATTATTCTGGTACATAATAACTTGTATATATAAGCTGCGCTGATATTAGTTTAGTTTAGTTGATAAAATATTATCCTACTCTCAACTTATAAATAAATACATTTACATAAATTAGAACAGTCATTTCATGGTGCTCTTGTATTTTTACAAGAATTATCAAATAACAATGATTAAAGTTTATGGTATTTTACATTTATGTCATTTATTTTCAGCACAATTTAGTACTTTTTTATAATATTGTTACATGTTTTAGTGGGGCTAGCGTTGTCTTAACCGCGCAAAATCTGCCAGAATGTCTACTACTCCCAATGCCACGAAAGATACGAGCATTATATAGAGTCGTCTTTAAAGTAGTTAATGACAGCTATATAAAATTACATTCTGGTACTACTGTTTTGCATCAAGCTGCAGAGTTGGATATACCGAATATAGCAAGAGTTATTGTAGATAAAGGTGCTGATATTAATGCACAAGATTCTAGGGGGAAAACTGCTCTACATATTGCCGTAGATAATTTTCAATATCATATTGTCGAATTTCTAATATTCAATGGTGCTAATATTAACATAAAAGACAACTATGGACATGTTCCTTTAGCAAATATATTTTTTGATTGTTTTGATTTTGATTTGGATTTTCAACGAAAAATGGTTAAATACATTGTTTTATGGCAAAACGACCAGCAGCATCTATTTATGAAAGGTAAGTAAATACAAAAATTATTATGTGTATAGTAGGGATGGCGGTTTTTGACAAAACACCGGTTTTCGGTTATACCGGTTTTTTTTGCTTACGGTTTAACCTGGCAGTTATAACCGGCCAAAAAAACCGGTTTTTCCAAAAACCGGTTTTCGGTTTTTTTTAATCAAATAGATTAAAAAGTTACATTTACAATGCGCTTTAGTTTGCGATACTACATTCGCAACACAATTTTTTGTGTTTTGTGAGAAAAAAATTCCCCAGACTCTTTCAAATTGGATTTAAAGAAAATAATATCAACATAAATATTTTACTTAAAAATAAATTGGATAATGCAATTCATCTTTTATTTTTACTACCATCAAAAAAATTTATCATGTATTACTTTTAACTCATTTACGACTTCCGGTATGGGTATAAATCGTTTTGAAAACGTAGGGAAATCCTTGTAGATTCGTATTCGTAATCGGTAATTCGATATTCATAGTCATTATTTTGGTAATCAGAAAAAGCCATTCACCCACTTTCAATGTCAAGAGTCAAATAACCATAATAAATACCAGATCACTTCTTATGTAAAAATATTATGATTACAAATACTTTTTCAACGAAATACTATAATAAAATTTAATTGTTTCTGGCTAATGTGAGCTTTTGCTTCTGTATTAAATAAAATAAAAATTGAATTTTAGTTTTGTTTGGAATAATTACTTGAGAATAATAATTATGATTGGGTGGGATCCAAATTAATACCTAACCTAATCCTAATTACTGTAAAAACCTAATAACCGGTTTTTACTTTAAAAATAAAAAACCGGTTATAACCGGGACAAAAAAACAACCGATAAAACCGGTTATTTCGAAGTAAAAAAACCGGTTTTCGGTTAAAACCGGTAGGTTTTTCCCATCTAGTGTATGTAGTAAGGTAAAACTACCTATTAACGGTCTTTACAAATTCGTGATGTAAATCTGGACTATGAAAAAAATTAAATTCTTTTGTAAATACCTTTAAGTTAGTATAACTTAATACTACAGCATGTGTGTATGCTAGAGAGAAAGTTATTAGGCTATCTTTTAGGGCGACTACGAATTACCCCATTTTACTTAATAATATTTTTCTGAACATATATAGTTTTTATTTTATTTTATTGTATTCAAAAAGAAACCCAATTCCCAAAGCATAAGCGAAAATTTTAAACGATTAAATAATGAAACTATAACAATGTAATGGAATACAGTTGATTTATAAATCTATATTAACTTATATACAATAACAAAAACTACAGTTAAACAATAATAATGCTTAATTTTATTGTCTGATTAGTGATTAAAATAAGTAAGAGTGAACACTATATTTTAGATTTTCAAAGTTAGCTAGATAATAATTGCAAACTGACTTAATGAAGTCTAATTTACTAATGTTTTGACTAACGTAATATTCATTTAGCCTATTTTCGGTAAAATTAACTTTTCTTTTTGCCGTTTTATCAAGTTTTTTTCGAATATATGTGCAGTTTTAATTTTCACATATACTTCTGCTTAAAAATTTAACGAAATGTCTGTAACTATAAATATGTCAGGATGTGATTTATAAAAACATTCGTTAAATTTGGGGTAAATTGATTAACATGCATTTTTAGTAAATATAAGAGATGATGAATTTGAAGCCCACATGTAAGGTGGAAATGTGGAATTTTCCGTTAAACAATTATCAACTATAATCGGTTCACAATTTGTCGATAGCTCACTACAAGTGTAACCCTAATTAGAGAACTGAAATACAGAGAGGATAGGTAATACGATATAATAGTAAAAACCAACCTGAAACGGTTTAAGATGTTTTCGACTAACTCACCTTGTATCTGTTAAATGGTAATTAATTTAAAATGCCACAAGCAAATAGCTTCAGATCAATATTGTATCTGAAGGAATACAATACAGCAGTCAACCTTATAATCCGATTACGAAGGTATTTTGCTTACAGATGACCGATCAAATTTACCAATTTCAATAGGCTTTTCCCTCTCTTTAAGTGTTCGTTTGCGTTTGGGTTAGCTATACCGTGTTTTTTACTTTCTGATAGGAACCTATATATATATATATATATTATATATATATTATATATATATATATATATATATATACAATCAATCAACGTTTCGGCAGGAAACCCTTGCCTTTGTCAAGATTCTAAAATGTGTATATATATAAGGACAAACAGATATTTTAAAATATGTATATATATATATATATATATATATATATATATATATATATATATATGACTTACCAAAACGTAAAACGTGACACAGACATTAACGAACTTTATATATTTATATATTTATATATTTATATATATTATATGTATATATATATATATAATATATATATAATATATATATATATAAATATATAAATATATAAATTTATATATATATATATATAATATATATATATATATATATATATATATATATATATATATATATATATATATATATATATAGTTGACTCCTCTACGCCAGTCATGTTGGCAAAACTTTTCGATTATGTTTCGAACAGTGTTTGTAAGATTCTGAGAAACCAGAGCATCGTAAACATTCAGGACAATAGTCTTCTCTTTTGTAAATAGACAGACTTACTGATTTACGCAACAGTATCGGTGTAAAACTTGATGTTGATGATAAAGCCATCACAAACAATCCAACAAAACGAGCACGAGCGAAAGGTACGTATATGTTCGTAGGTATATGAAATAAAAAATCACTCACGCACTGCATATAATTTGAAAAAGAAATATTCGAGACGCTAATTACTGCCGTAGACACGGAAACGAGGCACGTGGCCAAAGCCGGCATCTTTATACCCATTATATTATTAAAAATCTGGGGAATTCTATCCTATTATCCTGCAACGAATAGTACCTTCAGATATGAATTCCAGGTTTTCTAGTTAAGTGATTAAACGCGAAGTTTAGTATTGAAACATCCAAAGAGATAAAGTATTCTTATTTACAAAATTATTAATGATTAAATTTTTATTTTTATTAACATACCAACATTAGCCGTGAAAGTTTTAATTGTTTTTTGCTAAATATATTAGTATTAAAACATTATTAATATTGATAAACATTTTGAAAAGGAAAATAAATGTAGAATGCATTAATTTTAATGAACAAACACCTCAGGAACGCCTATGATGATACAAATTTTACGACCGTGTTATGACTTTGAGGCACATTTCGTGCTCTTAACAATTTGTGAACGGATTATAGGTACCTAATTACAAAATTGCAAAACTCTGTCATTTTCTACATAATATTAAAAATTTCATCAGAAAAAAAGTCACCAACATCATTTGGATCCAGGTAAGGAATGCCGAAAAATAATTTTAAATATTTTCCAATAACTGTTTGATTTTTATATGCCGAGGACAAACCTGAATTTTGAAATTTTCGGTACCAATTTTGTGTTAAATTAAATTTGCAACAAAAAATAATAATGTCGGGGCTGACTACATTTTGAATTGCTATTTCAAAATCAGAAATTATTCGCTTCGGTTTGAAATTTAAATTCAAATCTGTACATATTGTTATTTATGTATCAAAAGTACTTTTGTACGATTGTTGTGATTTATTTGTTAAACAAAATACTTAAATAAAAAACCATTTTTGTTGTAGCTATATCATATAGTAAACATCTGGCAAAAATATTTAGAACAGTATTGAAAAGTTCCATCTACATACAAAGAATCTACATTACACAAAAAGTAAAGATTTGAGAAATAACTAATAATTGCAGAATTATTTTTCGTAGATAATAAAAAGTTTTCACCTGTATTTGTTTTTAAGTTTAAGTTCACTAAAACTTGTAGAACTTCTTCCTGTGACTTGGGCAATGATGGTGTGGAATTTCGTCTTGCAGCATAGATATTTCTTCGAACGCAAGAAATGTCTTTCGTCGTCAGTGTTAAATTGCTGAAATTTTCCTGAAAGTGTTAGATGTAAATGCAAAAGTATGTGCACGAAAATATTGGAAGATAGCAAGTTTTAACTAGTAATGAGAAAGAACTAATCGTAAAATGGATATTTTTTTGGCTGTTGTGGGTTTTCCCGTGACACGCTACCAGCTTATTAACAACGTAGCAGTGTTCAATAAAAATCTAAAGAAAGCCAATATATTTAAGAATGGAATTTCTGGAAATGAATGGTACCACCATTTTCCAACTCGACATCTGGAAGTAAGACCTTGTGTATCCCAAAATCAGACAGCAAGCCGTTTCTTCGTCACAGGGGGAAGAATAAGAAATTAATTCAAGAAAGTATGTGATTATTTTAGTCAAAATAACATCACAGATGTATTGAAAGATCTAAGTCAACTGTGATGAGACAGCCTTTTTCATGGCTCCACAGGATAAGCAAGTGTTAGTGAATAGAGGGTCTAAAACTGTATATAACAGAACTACTAACGATGAAAAAGAATGTATGACTGATTTAAAAAAACTATCCGCTGGTGGAGATATCTCACCACCAATGGTTTTGTTTCCCTTTACAAGGCTACCAAAACATGTAGTTTCAACTATGCCAATGGGTTGGGGTATCGGATACAATGAAAGTGGATAGATAAAATACAAAAACGTTGGATGAGTATGTCGCAAATTTGTAGCACTTGCAATTTCATTGATTCTTTGATGTATATTTAAATCTCCTCGTATATATAATATATTGAAATCCCCTTATATATGTTTGAAAGATCTTTTAATGTATCTTTCGTTCATATCGTTCAATTTGAAACCCAAATAATATTTCGTTCTTTTTAGCGTCGCTAAGTAATAAAACCATTTGAGAGTTGTTTATTATTTTAAAGATGTGTAAGTACTTTCTCGGCATTTTCTTTTAAAGTTTTGTTCGAAGTCGCGTTATAATTTTTATACGTCGCAAATGGAATCTTTTACGTTTTAATTTTCGTTGTGTTTTGTTATTTCAGCGTTTGTTTATTTTCAAGTTAAGTGAACGAATTCTTAAGAGAATTTCGTCATTCTTACTTGGGTCGCCGTAGGTGCAAGTGCAGATAAATTCTTACTTGGGTCGCCGTCGGCTCAAGTGTGTATTAATTCTTACGTCGCTATGGGCTGAGTATGAATCCAAATTCATACGTCAAATTTGTTGTTTTCTGTTTTTGAAGTATGTAGCAGTGAAAAATAAATTGTGTAGTATACCAGAACATGGTATAATTTTAAAGCAGTACATAGGGTGTACCACAACTTCGTTTGTCGTCTGTTTGCTGAACAACCTCCTTTGTCGTCTTTGATCGTCGTTCCAGATTAAGGAGATGGTCTTCTTTTGTTCCAGTTCGGAAATGGTTCACTTAGTTTATGCCCCGAATATGTTTACAGGATTTTTAGAAGTTTAAGTGCAAAAATATGTGAATTTAAAGGTAACATTTAATGTTTTAATTTTCAAAGTAAAGACAGACATTTTTTTGCTAAAGTAATAATTGCTTTCATTGTTTAAAAAGATAATTTTTTTATTTGTAATATTTTTTATATTTGCCACAGTTTATACGTCAGTAACATTAGTAAGTTTTTGTAGCATCTCCTGAATTTGTAAATTAGTAGAACGCATGTAAGTTTTTTGTATTTTGCGACTATCGTGGTAATATTTTTGTATTGTTTTTTTTGAGCATTCTTGTGTTCTCTATGTTTTGTAACTGTTTGTGGTAAAACACTAATAAATGTTAAAGTTTGTTTTCTTAACATTTTGTTTATTTCTTTTGAACTAACCCTTTTTTGAGTTTTATTTGAAAAGATATGTTTTTTTATGTTTTGATTTTTTAATATATTTCTTTAGTTACAACTAGTTGTTGTACTAGTTATAATTAGGCACCTCAAAGTGGCGCTCTATATAAATTACTAGAGGTGTTTCCTGTTTCTTTTTGTTTTGTTTGTCCCAAGAGATTTGTATAAGTACCCCTTTATTTCATTTTTTTTGTAGTTGCCCCAATCCAACCCCTTATCTTTTACTTATCCACGACCCCAGCTCTCCTACCAAACCCTGAGTGCCGTTCGCATATGGTTCGTTTATTTTGCTTGCCTTATCTTCACCCCATAGTTTCAGTCCCCAATTTTATACCACATAATCTTACCCCGTGTGGTAGGCAAAATATTTTCGTTACAAATTATTTTAATAAATGGTTGAACGCAAAAACATTGAAAACACCTTCTGTCGTGTTATTTTTGGATGAACATATTAGCCATATATCTCTTGCATTGAGCGAGTTTTACCGGGAAAATGACTGGTTTTGGTAGCACTGGTTCCAAATTCCATACATACCATGCAGCCGCTTGATGTTGCTATATTCCGATCTGTCTAAGCTAGATGGCGCAAAATAGTTGATGATTTCTGAACCTGTTATGAAAATTAATCACTTTGTCACTTCTCCAAAATTTAAAACACCATTTAAAAATGCATTTTGTTTCCCCACAAAAATATCTCAAACGTCCAAAAGAAAGACTATAAAAAAATTAACACCTGTAGTAACTATTGCTGATGATTTCAAGGGGTACCAGAAAAGAGCAGAAGCAGAAAGAAAATAACAGGAAGCAAGGAAAAAACAAAATATTAAAGAAAAATTAAAAAATGCACCTAACATCACGAAAAAAAAATTAAAATTTTAAAAGCTGTCAAATTAAACGTAAACATTGAGAATAAAGAAAAACAAATAGAAGATATACCGGGTGGTGAATCGTCAAACGGTCCATAGGAAACTCAATGGGAAATTTTAAATTGTTGAATTGCTGCTTCCCTAATTATTTTAGATCAAAAGTCATAAAAAACTATTTGTAGAGGACTAAAATCTGAATTAAAAGCAAATGTTAAAACCGTTCTACGAATCAAATGTACTTCAAAATTTTGCAAAAATATAGTACATTTTTCAGGCCACCCCTAAAAGTTAGGCCACACGTAATGCAAGAATATATATTAGGACGGCTGTGTTTTATCATATTAATGTCAGATGTTTGACAATTTGAATTGTCAATTTTTTTATTTTATGATTAAATTATAAACAATGAATTTTACTAAATACTACTACTCACGATATACAAACACAAGTACTAATTTACACATTATTACTTTGTGAACAATAAATTATATTGTTTACAAATCGATCAATATAATGAAATGTACTCAGTTGACGAAAAATCGCATAATGTTGTATACAGGCAATAGCGCGAACCTTTTTCTGCCACTACCGGATCTTTATTTAACGTAAGATATTCTAATTCACTAAAATTTAATTCCATGTTAAGTTATACAACAATGTAATGAATTCCAATATACTGTTACTGTGATCTTTATCCCTAATAATAATATATGATAATTTCCAAACATAAAACTATAACAAATGTTATAATAAAACATGAATAAAACATTTTTATTATTGCTTTTTTCTCCTCAACTGAGTACATTTTTTAATCAACTTATTTTTTTTTAACAATAAATCACAAAATTTTGACCATTTAAATCATAGATAAACGTAATATAATTGATTTAAATATTGTCAAATATCAGAAACAATAATATGACAAAACGCAACACATAATACACATTTTTTCACAGAAAAATGTATTATATTTTAGCAAAATTTTGGAATACGTTTAAGTCGTAGAATAATTTTAACAGTTGTTTTCGATACATATTTGAGTCCTCTACAAATAGTTTCCCATGACTTTTGGTGTAAAATAATTTGGGAAGCAGGAATTCAACAATTTAGAATTTCCCATTGAGTTTCCTATGGCCCGTTTGACGATCCCACCCTGTATATATATATATATATATATATATATATATATATATATATATATATATATATATATATAATATAAAATTAATATTTCTTGGGTTAGGTTCAATAAAGATATGTTACATGTGGAACTAGATTTTATTTTCCATTGCAATCAATCAACGTTTCGGCAGGAAACCCTTGCCTTTGTCAAGATTCAAAACGTAAAACGTGACACAGACATTAACGAACTGCTGTTCGTTCCTTTTGCCTTTTCTAGCTAATAATCTCTTCATTACCTCATAAATTCTTGTTAATTATTCTTTGTAATTGATAATCACATGTAATTGACTTAATAATCCTTGAATTGTTATAACTAACTCCTCAATAATAATCTTGTAACTGATTTAATTTCTTCTAACTAACTCACTTAACTTAATTAATAATCTTCTTGTAGCTTAATTCTTGAATTATAACTTTACTGACTCACTTTACTAACTGTAACTAACTAACTAACTAACTGACTTCTAACTGATAACTGATCATACTGATAACTGAACTGGTAACTGAACTCCTACTCCAAACTACATGGCTTTTTATATATCCTTCCTCTTTCCAGAATAATCTAGCAATAAATAATGTTCGAATCATTCTATTTGTTCTATCTGAATATTCTGGAATCGTTTTTTGTCTGTGATGTATTATGCATATAGTCCCATTGACATTTCTAGAACTTTCTATTTACAATTTACTTGACTTTAGGCTCTCCAGATCAGAACTACACTATTATATGTAACTTAAACATTTATATGAAATATATTTTTACTATTCTACATCCACAATTATATTCTAAATTAACATTACAAAAATAAATAACTTTTTGACTTTGACACTACAGTGTATGTTTGGTTGCATATGCACATGGCTGACTAAACATATTAAATATTAAATAAAATAACATAAAAAAAACTTCTTAAACTTAATTCTTATGCTAAATTCTTAAAAATACCCTCATATAATTATTTTTTAATAATATTATCTAGTATATAAATTATGTCTTTAATTACTATTTAAAACATTGTATATCTGGTTGTATATATTTCTATGTTAATTTATTGTTTTTCTGTTCTCATTAATATATATATATATATATATATATATATATATATATATTATATATATATATATATATATATATATATATATATATATATATATATATCTACAGTCTGAGTTTCGCATTTCGACGCACGTCTCGCATCATTCGTCTTCTTGATGGCTCTATCTCTCATTAGGTGTCGTACATTTTCTTCCCAGGCAACTGATGATCTTCCCTCTTCTTCTTTGTTGTGGTATGTAATTTAAAGCTTTCTTTGGCCATCTATCTTCATTCATTCTCTTCACGTGACCATACCACTCTAGTTGTCTCGTTTCAATTCTGTCTACACTGGAATATACAGTATTTGTCCTCCTTCTAATATCTTCATTCCTGATATGATCTTTTTTGGATACACCACACGCTCTCCTTAGAAAATCCATTTCTATTACTTCTATTCTTTTTCTATCTTTTTTCGTGATCTGCCAAACTTCTGCCCCATAAGTCATAATAGGCTCTACCAAGGTTCGATAGATTGTCAATTTTGTTTCTTGTCTAATATCTTTAGACCATAGTAGAGAGTTCAGAATGTTAACCGCTTTTTTTCCCTGCTGCGTCCTGTTTTCAATGTCTCTTTTGGTAGTGCCTTCCTTAATAAAATAAAATTCAAAAACAAAATGATCAAAACTATAAGAAAACGAAACAAATAATATATTAGTTTAATCGTGTACTGTAACTACTTATTTTTTTCTGTCAGTTAATTTTTTTATTGGTAATTATCGGTTTTTTTTTATTTTGGTATGCCGACGCCTCTAGTGTAGAGTCATATAGAGAAGCGTCCCCCCTCCCACAGGTTGATAAACTTAAACGCTGCATTAATATTTAAACCGTTTGATTATTTCTATCATTTTATTTTTATTTTAGGTTCTAGAATAAGTTCTGCATTACAACCTTTGTGGAACCATTGTGAAGATGATGTTAATAAAATGAAAGATTTTATATTCGAGGAGAGTAATATTTCCTTATACACAATCCTTAGACACATTTTTAATGAACACCAACTTGCAGAGTACCTGAAAAATAAATCAATAGCCCAATCCTTGTCGGATTTTATCTGTAATGATATATACTGCACAATATTTCCGAGATATGAAGAGCTTATACGGATAATTCCATTTATTTTGATACCTGCAAGAGCAAGAAATTTAGAATTAGAGAAACTCATTTTGATTTCCAATGAAATTTTGCCTCAATTGCCTCCAGAAATAGTGCTTAAAATTGGTAGTTACCTAAATAACTATGATTTAACAAACTTTTTGCTATCGGTATGTGAAATTTGATTATAATATATATTACTTTATTATGTTAAAAAAATTTAAAAGACATTAAAAATTAATTGAGGCATTTACCTTAAATATTTTTTAACCATTTAATATCTACATCAAATAAGCACTTAAAAACAATATTATAAAACGAAAACTCAGCACAAATTATGGTTAATAAAAAAATTGTAGTTTGAAAACTTTTTATTCAATATTACAAAAATTAGGCTATTTACATCAAAACGATATTGTACATCACATTGAAGTAATTTAAACTAATTTTAATACCTAATTTTAATATATTACCTAGTTTAAATTTCACATCTTTTGGGCATGAAATTTATTAATTTTTGCAGTTCCTCCATGGAAGTAAAGTGATGCCACGCATGGATTAGAGATTTGATTAATTTCGTTGTATTTGTAGGTTTGCTTTTGGAAAAGATGTTTGATATCCTTTGCCACAAATTCTCCATGGGACGGACGTCCGGGGATTGCGCTAGCCAGTCCATCCTATCAATTTCATTACCCTCCATCCAACCTTTAACCAATTTTGCTCTATGGCAAGGAGCATTGTCATCCTGAAAAATAAGGAAATCTTCTGACATACGCATTTCCAGCATGATTCTTAATATTAAAATGGGATTCATTACTAAACAGTACACTCTGCCACTGCTTTGCTGTCCAGATTCGATTCGACCCATTTTAAACGGTGCAATTTTTGCTTCTCTGAAAGCAGTGGTTTCTTCCGTGCCTTCCATCCTCCAAGTCCAAAACTAAGCAGTCTTTTTCTCACAGTGGAAGTGCACACGCTTACACTTGTAGATTCAAACTGCAGCTTCGTCAATTGGGTGCAATTATGGCTTCTGTCTGCCAGACTTGTTTTTCTTAACGCAGCGTCATCCCGAACAGAAGTTCTCTTTGGTCGGCCACTACGTGGTCCATACTTCTTAATGACTGTAAATTGACTACAGTTTACTGCGGATGCTATTTCGCGACTAGATTTGTCATTTTTATGTTGAAGATAAATTTCAAAACATTTTTTGTCCGATAATTTAGTTTGTTTGGTCTGGGATGACATTTTGACCTTTTTATCAAAAATCAAAGAGCGAGTAAATGTGTTAAAGTAACTACAGTGTTTATATAGTCAAAATATGTGGCAAATTTCTCATTAAGATTTAATTGTACTTTAACGACTTGAAAACGAAAAATAATAATAACTTTCTCGGATTATGGGAAATGCCTTCAATCAGATTATTTTAATCTTTTGTGTAGAATTTTGAGCTGGTAATTAAAAAACGTTAGTAAGTGTACCGATTATGCTAATCACAAGCACAAACTTAAAATAAATTAGCAAAAATATACAAAAAACTTGTGTTAAACCTCAAAAACTATAAGCCGCTTAGCAGATGCAGGACTTTTTAACACCACTGTAAATGCATCTTACTACGAGTACATTATTAAGAACTTCATAATGTAATACCAGCCCTTTCCGTACCATTATTGTCTAGTTTATCCTTTCAGTACACGCGCCTCAAAAAGTTACATCAGAACACGCTGCGGACTGTGAGTCCGCATATTGAAATAGAAAATATAACATATACTAAAAAATTCTTCTGACAAAACTTCTAACAACTATTTGTGCAATAGTACCAGTTTAAGGCAGTAGTGGATCTTTATATTCAACCATTTTTGTAATTTTAGTTTTAGTTTCACTGATGATGACAACCAAAAAAGCACGAGCACGAAGGTAATTAGCAACTTATTGTCTAGCTAAACTTTGTAAAAAAAAATCTTCTGCTGGTTACATTATCGGAATTGTTTCAATGAAAAATATAAAAAATAGAAAACTATCAGGGTGAAGGGTTGTGTTATAGAGGTAGTACCTTTTATTGGAACGACCATATCGAGCGTCATAGACGGGAGATGGATCTTGATAACTGGTCCTCATAAGATAACTAACTCCCACGTATGGCTTCACATGCCACACCCCGGGCAACTGCCTTGGTCTGCTGGCTAAACTAAGTAAGGGTAGCTTGATATGGCGAAAATTTCACCCATTGATTGCTGGTATAAATAGTTCCCCACTTACTGACCAACGGCTTTGGGTGTAGGAGTTGGTAAGTGGTGACTTTTTTTCCTGTGCTTGAGAAATCGACCTTAAAGGATGAACCAAAATTTTGCCAACGGCATAAAGATGTAGAAGGTAAAGGGAAACCACTACATTAAAGATCCCTACGGATATCCTTGGAATAATTATCTTATATATCGGACAAAATTGAAGCAAATGCCCTCAGACCTGGGCAGACCTTAGATGGTTCGAAGGTGGTAAAAATCCCCCGGGTTCGACTTCAAGATGTTATTCATAAAGTAGCGACATGGAACATCAATAGTTTGTGCATCCCAGGAAAGTTATATAACCTGCTCAAAGAAATGCAGCGCCTAGAAGTGAAAGCAATGGGTGTAAGTGAATTGAGGTGGTCTGGCCCAGGTATTTCTCAAAAAGACAACTTTACAGTGTACTATTCCGGTAACATCGCCACAGATAATTAACGCAGGCATAGAGTTACAACATTGCTTGATAATAGAATTGTGATGTCTGTTATAGATTACATGCTCATTTCAAACAGAGTAATCATAGTGAAGTTAGTCTGTTAACCTATTTATATAAATCTAATCCAATTTTACGCACCCACATCTGATAAATCGGAAACTGAAATTTTAGATTTCTATAAAGACATAAAGGAAGTATGGAAGTATTAAAAGTCGCAAATAAAAATGACATCAACATCATAATGGGCGATGTTAATGCCAAAGTCGGTAGGGCTAGATGTGGAAATGCGTTCGGTGATTTCGGTCTGGGTAACAAAAATGAGCGAGGAGAGTTACTAACTGAATTTTGTAATGACTACGATTTCGTCACATCCAATACGTGTGATATCAACTCCCACCAAGAAGATTGTATACATGGCGAGCACCAGGAGATCGTCTAGGTCATATGATACGAAATCAAATTGATTACATCTTGATAAACAAAAGATTCCACAAATATATAAAAAAAAGTGGCCGCTTAACCTGGTGCGGACATTTCGTCTGACCACAACTCCCTTATCTCGAATGTAAGGCTTCGATTGACTAAGGTTAAAAACCAATCTAATAAAAGATACATAAACACTAGAGAATTATGAGAGATGAAGAGCTTAGATCTACATACAGTAAGCACATCAATGATAACTTGAAAAACATACAAGAAAATTGCATAGAGAAAACCTGTGAGAAAATAAAAATAGCTGTAGTCGAGGCTGACGAAGTAGTTGCAAGTAAAATAAAAAGAAATCGCAAAAACAAGTGGATGACGAAAGAGATAATTGATCTAATGGAGCAACGCAGACAGTACAAAATACATCAAAATCAACAGAAATACAAAAAAATACAACGTACGATAAGGGTAAGAATTAAAAACGCAAAGGAAAGCTGGATGAAAGAACGTTGCGAAGAATTGGAACCACTACAAAAAAAGGGAGACAGCTTTGGACTACATAAAAAGGTCAAAGAAATTTCGAGTATATACAAGAAACACCATGAGACTCGCCTGAATAATGATCAAAGAAACTACGTTCATACCCAGGAAAAGCTAGCTAAAATCTGGGAAAACTATGCTTCGTCCCTCTTTGCGGATGACTGACTCTTAAGTTTTAACCTTGTTTAGGCTTGCGCCTCTTCAAGGGATGGGGACTCCTTTTTTTTGACGGAGTTGTGGGGGTGTGAGAAAAACGTCAATTGAACGAAACGCGAGCTAAGAAGTAGAGAACTACTAAGGAAAAGAGGGAAAAGAAGGTGGTTTTTTGTGTGATCGATAAGAATCGATAGAATGCACAAGAAGAAGTTGGGTTGCCTAGCATGCAGTGTGAGGTACTTCAGGGGTTACCAGCCATACAGTAGGAACGGCTCTTTATCAGCGTTTTTGGTGCGCAGTTTATCTGCGATAATAGATGGGGAAAGATTCAAGAATATCAAAATACTCCTCAGGAAGTTCGGGTCCAGCGTTGTGTAGAAGTTTAGCTGGAGGGAATGGAACTTTTTTGGCAGGATGCCTGGTGAGTATTTGCCCTCTATGCGAACAAGGTGTCTTTAATGTTTGTTTTGCTCGGTTGTTCGAGCCAGCTATGGTTCTTAAGACATACTTCCTACTGAGGGTTAGGATTCTGTCCTTAATTGGCGTGATGTTGGTTAGTGCGTAAATGTGGGCTGATGGATACAGCCAATCTTTTCTCATGCAGAAGCGTAGGATTCTACGCTCGGTGGCAGTGATGGCGTTGAGTTCATGGTTCCTCAGAGAGAGGTAAACGCACGCCTTGTATTCGATTATCGGTCTGATAAAAGTCTTGTAGGTGTGCAACAATGTGTTAGAGGACGTTCCTCCTAGTTTACCGGCTAGCACTTTCAGGAGGTTGAGCCTTCTTCTCATCCTGTCGAGGGATTCGTGGACGTCAGCCTTCCAATTGAGAGTTCTCGTAAAACGAACTCCCAAGTAGAGAACTGAGTTCCTGAGAATAAGGTCCTCTCCCAAAAGTGTCACCCGGCCCTGGAGGCCGCGTCCGTAAGGAGGTCTGAATAGAAATTGCTTGAGTTTTGGAGGGGTTTAAAGTGACCCTCCATTTGTTGCACCACCTCACGACTCTATCAAGGTAGGCTTGCGATTTTTCGAATACAGACTGTCGTTCTCCTTCTCTGTAGGAACCTGAGGTGAGAATGGCTGTATCGTCAGCGAATAGGAGTAGAGACTCTGATCCTTGCTGTGGGCGGGGGATGTCGCTATTGTAGACTGTGTATAATATTGGAGCAAGTATTGAGCCTTGGGGTACTCCTGCTTGTGGAGTGAATGGAGTGGAGAGATGTTCTCCTATTTTGATCCTAACCGTCCGATGGGAGAGATAGGAATTTATTAGTTTAACGAAAGGTGTTGGCAGTCCAGCAAGGTGGAGTTTCTCGATCAAGCCTGCGTGCCAGACCTGATCGAA